AGAGAGACAGAGAGACAGAGAGACAGAGAGACAGAGAGACAGAGAGACAGAGAGACAGAGAGAGAGGAGAGACAGAGAGAGAGAGAGGGAGAAAGAGAGAGAGAGACAGAGAGACAGAGAGACAGAGACAGAGAGATAGAGAGACAGACAAACAGACATACAGAGAAAGAGAAAGAGGGACAGGAGAGAGAAAGAAACAGAGAGAAAGAGAGACAGAAAGAGAAATGAACCGAGAGAGGCGGTATGAAAGAGGCAAGAAAGTTCCCGCCACCTATCACCACCACCTCCTCCCATCCCGGTCCGCCATCAGGACTTGATCGATCTCCCCGTTGCATAATGGAGCCAGTCCGTGCCCCGGTTGGACCAGGCAGCCTGTTCTCACCCCGGGTGACGTAGATGAGGGGGCGGGGCTACACGTCACCGAGGCTCGGGATGAGAGGTCGGTGACAGGCGCGAAAAAAAATCGTTGTCGACTGTGACGATGCAGTGTGAGGTGTGAGTGTGAGTGGTGGTGGCGCATAGGTAGATATTTATTATAGATCTACTAGTAGTAGGGTGTGAGAAAGATTGCATTTCCACGTTTTGTGTTGTTGTTGTTGTTTATGCCACTTTTTTTGTTATGCGAGTGTTATGATTTATTTTCATTGCTTTGATATTGTTGTTGTTGTTGCGGCTGGTTTGATTTTCACAATGATGCTAATGTACATGTAGTTGTGTGTGTTGTTGTTGTTCTTCTTATTGTCGTTAGTTGTTTTTGTTGTTTTTGCTCTTCTTTGTCCAAGCCGTCATTTCATTTGCCTTGTTCTCGGTGATATGTTGCTGCTGTTATTGTTGTTGGTGTCCCTCCTCCTCCTCCTCCTCCATTTCGATTTTCTTTCTTGCGCAGAATTCATAGACGAATAAGACCTCATATAATATACCATATTGATAACATGTAGCAGGGTTGTTATATATTTTTAAAAAGATGTGTCTATAAGGGGAAGGAAGGTACGGAGAGGGGAAAATGGTGGTATATTGTGAGAAAAAAAAAGATGTTTACGTACTTTGCCAACATGTTCTACAGTTGACACCTTCGTACCGTGTACCTTTCAGCGACTTTACGGAAGGTGTGAAGCTCGTGTCAGACCCTCACACATCATGACATCTGACGTGACTTTTTTTCCCGCCCGCCGGGCGCCCTCCCTGTGTCCCGTCCACAGTAGGAGGTTCGAGGGATGAGAATGAGAGGGGGGTTTTTTTTTGGTTTGCTGTTGTTGTTGTTTGTGGTGGGTTGTTGTTGTTGTTTGTTTTTTTTGGGGGGGTGGGTTGGTTTGCTTGGTTTGTTGCTGTTGTTTGTTTTTGTATTTATTTGTTTTGTTTTGTTTTGTTGTTGCTTTTT